GTCAATTTCTCGAATCCTTCACACCTTTCTATCATCTAAGTCTCCAGACATCACAATTCGCAAAGTACTTGGGAGGAGATACAGTAGACTCGAAAAATTGCGTCGGTAATTTGAGTGGACTCGAATTTAGTATAGTCAGCCCTCTGCGATATTCAAATACGATAAACAGTAGAAAAACTGCATGGAATGAATTTGGGTGTCCCCAGCTAAGGTTACCCCCGATCTCGCAGAACTCTATTTCTAGAGTTGCGGCTGACAGACAATTAGAACTTTATCTACGCTTGTGTACTCGATATATCATTGAATTCCGAAGGCAGACTAAAATCTACGCTTGCTGTCATATGAACGTTCAAATCCCCCGCAAAATATATCATTCAACTTTTTGAAAACACCTTTTGTTTATTACTAAGGAATTTTTCAATTCTGTTAACTTTTTGAAGCCGTTAACACATGTATTCGGTACTGCGTTGATGAATATGTACGTGAGCTTCATACGTGAGAACCTCGCAATGTTGCGACGGATGGCATCTCTTTTTAAATCAGATGTTTGTCTTTATGGCAATCTTGCGCTAACCTCCAGGTTTTGTTGTGAGTGTAATCTACTGCAGAAAGTCTTTGGACTTGAATTGCAGTACAACTCTTATTCATCAAAATGTTGAAGGCACAATGTCCACTGTCTTGTGTTTGCAGCGCTTTTTCAAGAATACATACTTCGGTTGAATTTTGTTAAGACCAACACAAAAATTTACGCATTTCTATCTAGAATAAAAATTGTATTTGATTCATGACGTACGGCTATCGGTCCTGGTTAACCACAGACTTCTCCTTTATAGCTCTATCATCTTCAAAATGACCGATGTTTCGACCGATGTCTTTGTACTTTCCCCGTTACAGGAGAAATGCAATGGCTGGTCGGAGGATACCTGCTCAACTGCCAAAAATAACACCCTCATTGGTCACTAGTGTGACGGGTCACACGGCACCTTGCACAGAGGAAGCTTGACTTCCAAGAGTATAC